GCTGCCCCCTCCCTAGCTGGTGCCATAGTTAATGTTTCATGTGTTTGCCACCATTAACCCCACAGTGTGCCCCTCCCAGCTTTACCTATTCACTGCCCAGCATGGTGTGTAGCAAGCATACAATAAATTGTTACCAGAGTCAAACTTTGTCCTTCTGCTCATAGGCCGTTTTTAGGTGCTTGTTTTTGGTTCATTGTTGCTTTAATGTAACACCAGAAATCATATATACTGTTATTAGTTGCCATGCCCTGTCAAGATGGTTTCAGTGCTGAATGACCCTATTCAACAGGACTAATCACTGCCTGTTCCCGAACCATGATCACACTTGCTGCTGTCTGAACCCATTAGTGCTCAATCCATCTCATTGAAGGTCTTCTTTTTTTGCTGACGTTCTTACATAAAATCAAAATCAATCTCACTGTCTTTGAGTTGATTCTAACTCCTCGCGAATGTCCATCAGATGGTCAGGGCTGCAAATCTTAATGGTGGAAGACTGATGCATTTTCCTTCCTTGGTGTGGCTGATGGATTTGAACTGTTGACCTTTCCGTTAGCAGCTCAACACTTAATTTACTGTGCTAAATCATATGTGTTCTTCACAATATAGAATTGTGTGAACCAGAAAGTAGGTGTCCTTCTACACGCTATTCTCCCAAACAAACTACTATCCAAAACCAGGTGCAATTTCCTCTCTCTGGGATGGTGGTGGTGGTTGTTTTTGGGTTGGGTTTTTTTTCCCGTTTTTAAAAATTTACTATTAATTTCAATGAAAATTTACAGAGACTTTGGATTTCCATTCATTCGTTGTTGCACTTTTCTCCCCTCCCAACTCTCCCCCCACTCAGTACACTACCCTCTTGGAAAAGTAAAATAAAAATTCTTCCATTGTTTTACAATCCCTCCCCCAGGTCCAATCCACTATTGCAGCCTTCACTCTGGACTCCTGTCATGACAAAAATACCTAAACATGTACCCTTTTAAACAGTTTTCTCTCTCATATGTTTCAATGCAGTATACATTATTAAACCCATCTTTCTCAGTCTCCCCCCCCCCTAACCCCAAGTTCAGTCCTGTTTAACAGTGGCACCATGCAATATTTGTCCTTTTGTGACTGAGATACTTCACTCAGCATAATGTCCTCCAGGGTCACCCATTTTGAATAATATTGCATGAGTTCCTTGTTTTTCAATGCAGCATAGTATTCCATTGTGTGAATATACCATAGCTTCTCTATCCATTCGTTTGTTGATGGGCACTTAGGTTGTTTCCAACTCCTTGCTATTATGAACAAAGCCACAATAAACATGGGTGTGTATGATTGTTGTTGTTGTTGTTAAGTGCCATTGAGTTGAGCATAATTCATAGCGACCCTATGAGCAAAAGAACTGAACCCTGTTCTATCCTCTGCCATCCTCACACTTCCTGACACACGAGTCCATTGCTTCAGTCACCATGTCAATCCACCTGGTTGAGGGTCTTCCTCTCCTTCACCAACCCTCCACCCTTCTCCAAGGAATAGCCCCTCCTAGCAGCATGTCCAAAGTATGTGAAGTGAAGCCTCATCATATTTGCCTCCAAAGAGCACTCTGGCTGCACCTTCTTCAAGACATATCTGTTTGTTCTCTTGGCCACCCATGGGATGTTCAGTGCTCTTCTCCAACTCACCATGTTTTAGATGATAATGTGCATTTTCTACTAAACTATGTCATAGACTTCCTCCCAGGGTAATATTTTTTTTAAAAAACCCAAACGACGAATCTGTTCTCTCTCTTTTTTTCCCCCAGCCTACCAGCAGAACTGAATATTTCCTAGCCTGATGAGGAAACTCTTGCAGTGACCTCCACTCAGTCAGTGCATACAAAAATGCTCCTCCTTTTAGTTGCTTTTCTGTCTGGACAAGGAATAAAGCTGAAGTAATGTTTTGTCTACAGCAGACTTTTTTCAAACCAGGAGAACAATGGTTGAGCCAACTGGTGAAGAGTAGAAATGGGATAATCCTGTTAGCCACACCGTGCACTGAGGTCTGTTGGGTCTTTATTTTCCTCAGCTCACCCCACCTCTCTACCTGAATCCTTTTCCTTGGTACCATGTTATTATCTCCTCTGGGCACCCTGGCTCCTCTACTGGGTCCAGTAATTAGCCTGCTCCATCTGATCTTTTTGTTTGTCCTCTCTGCATGAAGTCTCACCATTAAGACCCTGGGAAAAGCAAAATTCCTCCACCTTTGTAAACACAAAATCAAAATTCCATCTGCATTTCTTGAGAAACCTTTTTTTTTCCTTGTACAAAGGAGTTAGCACAGAAAATCAAACCATCCTGACCCCAGCAAATAGTTTTAGTCATTCAGTAAATATTCCCAGCGATTACAGGTATAATTTTTATTGCATCTTTTACCTACTGAATATAGGGATAGCCTGCAAATTGGCATCTGAAATATTTGTGATTCGTGTATAAGAAGAATCTCAGGGTTAGTTTTGCTATTATTTTTAGATTTCAGAACACAGCAGACATTCTCAAATGTATCTTGCGTGGGTTTGCCAAAATTCCTGACTTCTGGTCAGTCTAGAAAAGTTGAGACAGGGTGTGCTTTCAGACTCGATCATAATCTTAAATGATACATTTCTCTTGTATGCCCCAAATCCTGTGTTTCTAGGACTGTTTGAACAGTGAGGAGTGTACCTTAGGGATGAGGGTAGGAGTTAGTAGGACGAAATGTCCTGGACAGTATGTTGCTGTTATGTGCCATCGAGTGGCTTGCGACTCATAGCGACCTTGTGTACAAGAACTCTAAATGCTGTTCTATCCTGTGCCAACCTAGCCATCTCAAACACACTTATTCCCACCGCTCCAGTCACAGAATCGATCCATTTCACCAAAGGTCTTCTTCTCCTTCGCCTCCCCTCCACTCTGCCAAACATGATGTCCCTCTCCAAGAACCAGTCCCTCCTTGCAACATGCCCAAAATATGTCAGATGAAGCTTCAGAATCCTTGACTCTAGGGAACACTTTGGCCTCACCCTCTCCAGGACAAACCTGATTGTTCTCCTAGCAGTCCATGGTATATTCAACACTCTTCTCCAGCACCACAGCTCAAAGGCATCAATCCTCTTTCTATCAACCCTATTCACTCTCCAACTCTCTGATGCGTAGCACATCATTGTGAAGACTATACCCCGGGTCAGACGCACCTTAGTCTCCAGCCTGACATCGTTGCTGTTCAGTACTCTTGAGAGGTCCCTCACAGCCGACTTTCCCAATGCTAAAACTGTTAACTACCTCAATCTCTTCACCATCCATGTTGATGCTGCCAATTGGCCCAGTGGTTAGAGTCTTTGTTTTCTTGACATTTAGCTTCAGTCCATATAGGAGGCTGTAGTCCTTGATCTTCTGCATCAAGTGCCTCAGGTCCTCCTCAGTTTCAGCAAGCAGGGTTGTGTCATCTGCATAACGCAGGTTGTTGATGATTCTTCCACCAATCCTGATGCCACATTCCTCTTCGTATAGCCCAGCGTCTCGGATGATCTGTTCTGCATACAGATTGAAAAGGTATGGAGACAGAATACATCCCTGACGAACCCCCTTCTTGATTTTGAACCATGTAGTGTCTCCTTGCTCTGTTCTGACTACTGCCTCTTGGTCCAAGTATAAGTTTCGCACTAGCACAAATGTTCTGTGATTCCCATTCTTCTTAGAGTCAGCCACAGCTTGTTGTGATCCACACAGTCAAAAGCCTTTGCATAGTCAATGAAGCACAGATAGACATTCTTCTGGTATTCTTTGCTATAGTTAACTTCAAACTGACTCTGACTTGTAGTGACCCCTTGTTCTATATAGTAGAACTCCTCCATAGGAGTGTCCTTTAAGAAAGCACTTTACCAGATCTGACTTCTGAGGCACCTCTGGATGTGTTTGACCTGATAATCTTTTTGGCTAGTTGTTGTTGTTATGTGCTGTCTAGTCAAGTATGACTCATAGCGATCCTGTAAACAACAGATCTTAACCCTGACCTATTCTTTGCCATCCTCGCAATCTCTGACACACTTGAACCCACTGCTGCAGTCACTGTGGAAATCCACCAGGTTGAGTGTCTTCCTCTCCTTTGCTGTCCCTCCTCCTTCCCAGCATGATGTCTCTCTCCAAAGCACAACCTCTCTTAGCAACATGCCGGAAGTGTGTGAGACAAAGCTTCCTCATCCTTGCTTCCAAAGAGCAATAAGGCTTCACTTTCTCCAAGACATATCTGTTTGTTCTTTTGGCATCCCATGGGGTATTCAGTACTCTTATCTAATACTGCAATTCAAAGACATCAATTTTTCTTCTGTCATCCTTGTTCATTGTCAAGTTCTCAGATGCATAGCAAGTGATTGAAAAGACTATGGCCTGGATCAGGTGCACCTTAGTCCCCAGACTGACATCATTACTCCTCAATAATTTGGACAAGTTCTTAATTACTGACTTTTCCAGTTCAGTATGCCTCCTTATTATCTTACTACTAGTACCAAGTGTACTGATTTAGGATCCAAGTAATGAAGTCATTGACAGCTGTTCCATGGTAAAGCCCTAGAAAGAATAACAAGAAAAGGAAAAAAAGCACTAAAGGTAATTTTCATGTGTAGCATTACACATTTCCCCCGACACACTTACATAAAAATTACATGTTAACTTGCCCCCTACCCCCAGTGATCTTCTTTGGCAGGTAGAGTAGAATTATCTGTTTTAAGGATGAGAAAACACAGATTTAAAGAGGTTCAACAGGATCACACAGCCTGTGTGTAGCAGAAGCAAGCCTAGAAGCTAGGGCTTCAGGCTTCTCTTCTGCCCTCCCACCATCGCTGTACCATGCTGGACCAGGAAGTGCAGCCAGTGTGACCTTTTCAGATCATGTCACTTTGTTTTCCGAGAACAAATTAAAATTTGTGTCTACTCCTTCCTCATTTGTCAAGGAATGATGACCAAAAAAAGGAAAGCATTGAGCATGATGTGGGTCCTGTCTCTCCCCAGGCCTCTATCTCTTGCTGTAAGCAGAGAAATAATGTCTGCGCCCGAGCTGGATTTCTGTCAAAGACTCGGAGAGGGGCTTTCACTGTTACTGAAACAGGTCCTGCACCAGGTAAGCAGCTGTCTTGGTCTGACTTGGGCCTAAGAGTCCGTGCACTGGTTTGGTTGTTGGGACACACTGTCTTACGTAGGGAGTCTATTCTGAAGGCGGTAGGATTTGGGGAGCAGTGAGAAGATCAGATCAGCTCCCCCTTCCAGGAAAGATAGGTGCTGGCAGGGCTCTGGAGACCATCTCCTAAATGGACTTGTCGGCCTCCTCTTTCCCAGCCTGGCACATCTTCTTTGGACAGCCAGGTCAGAAAGTGGCTTCTCAGTTGTGACTTGTGTAAACTCACAGACCCCAGGGCTGGCACAGGTCACTGAGGGGTAGGGGGAACAACAGTACATCCAGATCGTGCAAGGCTCAAGGCTCTGGTGGAATATTCTTCTTGCCCTGTGCCTGGGGTGACTTCATCATCTAGTCATATGGGATGGTAGTAGCTCCGCTTACTGAGCTTGATAGGGAACTCTGGTGGCCTAGAGGCAAGAAGCTGAGCTGCAATCCTGAAGGTATGCAGCTTGAATCCACCGTGGGAGGAGGACAGGCAATCTCTTCCTGGGCAATTAACTGCTTCTGAAAACCTGCTGGAGGGTCAGCTATGGTTTGGTTCCAATTCGATGGCACGCAACAACTGAGCTAGGTGCTTTCGTGCAGTCCTCCCGCAACAGTCCCCACGGGCTCAGGCTCTTCTTAACCCTGCTTCTCACACAAGGAAACCGAGACTCAGAGAGTTGAAATGACCTGCCCAGAGAGTCACATAGCCAAACAGCAGGCCTAACCTCCCCCCACCCCCCCCAAGCAGTCTGGCCGTTTCCTCATCACTCCACTGGGTCTTTTGTAATCTCCAAGACTTGGGGAGACACAAGAGCTTGCCTGCCAGCACTTCCCCCACCACTGGGACCTTCTCTCAGACTTCCTATTCCTTCCTGCCAGTCCAGGTGAAAAGTTTCCAGAGATATCTGGATCTGCAGCAGCTGACAATCCAGGAGCACTCATTATATTAACAAAACAGAACACTTAAAGTAGTTGCTGCCAAGTTGATTCCAACTTGTGTTGACATCCCCCTCGCACTTCCTCTGTACCCCCTGTTGGCTGGCAGAGTAGAACTGTTCTCTATCAGGCTGCCAAGGCTGTGACCTTTCAGGGTCAAACCACCAGTTTTCTGGTTAGTAATCAAGCACTTAACCGTTTGCACCACCTAGGGGATCCCACTTGTTTTAGGAATCCTTCCAGGGTCCACAGATGCCTTCCTCCCAGACACATGGCCCCTGAGCCTTGATGAGAAACAGCAGGAGGGCTGCTCCAGGAACCTTGCCTCTTGGGGGTGTGTTTGGATTAAATTGCAGCACAAGTCAGATTTCAGCAAATCCAGATTAAAGCAGAGAAGATCAATGTGAAGCTGAATAACAAAACCAACCCTAATTAGGAGGCTGAGCCCCACTTGAAGCTCCTCTGCCTTGCATCAATCATCCCCATGCAGCAAAACCCCACCTTGTTTGTTTAGACAGGAGACAAAGACAGGCATCCCTGGGTTTGGCCTGAGTCCCCACCACTGAGCACTGGAGTGTGAGCACCCTCGTGGCCAGCCGCATGCGCCCACTCGCTCCTGGAGGCTCCTTGTAACACAAAGGAAGAGGAGAGAGGTGGGCCCCAGCATCTGTGGAACCCCCAACTGATCTCAGCGACTGTTTTCAAAATCCTGTGGAACACACCCCTGGCATGTAATTACGTGCTCAGAAAGTGTGAGCTGTTAGGATTACTTGTCTCCATTTTACAGATGAGAAAAGTGATACACTGAAAGCAAGTGAAGGTTCAAACTAGTGCAGGGTCCTCCAGTTGGAGATGATTCTTGGTCCACTGGACTCCAAGCTTGGTGCTCTTCAGAGATCCCTCCCAGGACAAACAACTCCCTTTGAACGTGTGGCCAATCCCTTCCACCCACAGAGAGGATGACACTGCACTTTCCACTTTGCCCTCCCTGGGAAGTCTCCTGTGAAGCCACCACCCCTGGCATCCCTGATCCCGCCTCTCCCCTTGGCCTTTTTCTCAGGGTCTCTGAGGGCTATCCATTTAGCTACAATTCAGAATAAAATGCTCGCCTTTATACCTTAGCAAGTTGAATTTCTTGAGGTCTGGATATGCCATGCACAAGTCTAGCCACTTCACAAATGTCTCCTCTCTCTATTTTCCTCCCAAAGAAGATGACTAGAACATGGGCGATGTCCATGCTAACATGTCTGTTGGGAAATTGAGTGTGAAACAGAATCCAGCTGCTGTCCACTGACGCAGAGGCGGAAGAGCCGACCCATGGCAACCCAGGTCTTAGCTCTGTCTGGGCTGTGAGGCTACATAAGGTTTTGAAACACTTGTCTTGCTTTTCAGTATTCTTCAGATTTTGTAGGTGAAGTGTTGCTTTAACCTTAACAGAAAAGAGGAAGTTGGAATTTTACATTTTGTAAACCATTATGTGCTGGAGAGATTTGTCTGAGTCTCTGGATAAATGTGAGTCTCTTGGTTAGGCCTTTGGCATCTCCAAGTCTCAGTCTCCTCCCCTGTCTGATGCAGGAGCTCCTCCCTGCCACGCTGGGCTGAGGTGAGCCAGGTGTGGTACATATGGCCTGTGTTAGATATTAAAAAAAGAGGGTGAGAGCCCGAGGGAGAGAAATAAAGAAAGGACTTGATCCCAAGAAATGAATAGGCCGTTATTGAACGGTCTGAGAGGGACGTCAAGTGACCCAGCAGCATGGCATGCAGACAGGCAGTTTGGGGGGTTTCCTTTTTATAGGGGTCCTGGGGGGGACTAAGATGGTATTTCTCCGAATTTGACATGTTAATTAAGTTAGGTTTTAGCACCTTTTTTCCAAGCTCAGACCCTTATGAGGATCCATTGTCTGGTCTGGTCGATCAAGCTTGGGGGTGGTGGGGCAACTACCATATTCTTCCTTTAGCCTGTACTGTCCAGATGGGATTGTTTGGGGTTCGTTCAAGCAACTCTTCCATCTAAATATCCTGGAGCGATATGGCCTCAGATTTGTTAAGCGCACTTATAAGTGTGAGGTACTGCCATTTATTTTTTTAAAAACTTTTTTGTTGGGAGCTCTGGTGGCCTAGTGGCAAGAAGCCGCACTGCAATCCCAGAGGTACGCAGTTCAAATCCACCAGATGCTATGTTGGAGAAGAAGGAGGGACAATCTCTTCCTGTAGCAGTCAGATCTGATTAGACGGTACACAAACAAAAAATAATAATAAAATTTAGAAAAAAAAAGAATCAACAAAACTTTTTTGTTGTGATTTGAGTGAAAGTTTACAACATACATCAGTATCCCATCAAACCATTCTTTCATGTCATCACACTCATTTCAAACTCGATGGGATACTGAGCCATTCTTTCATGTCATCACACGCATTTCAAACTCATTGCCATCAAGTTGAAAGCTACTCCTAGCTGACCCTGCAGCAGGTTTTTGGAGGCTGTAAATCACATGGGAGGAGATTAGCTATCTTTCTCTCATGGAGCCACTGGTGGATTTGAACAGCCTGAGAGCCACAGCCTTTGGGTTAACAGCATAACTCTCCAGACGTCACCACCAGAGCTCTCTGGACATGGCTTTTTATTTACTTGGGGGGAAAAATGTTCCTTATTCTGTTTTAAAATTTCTTCCTGCTTTAGGACATTATAATATCAACGAATCTCTTGTGAAGCAGTCACCAACGGTATTAGTGTCTTGTTTTAAATCGAAAACTGACCGTGGAGTAAAAATGCTCTCAACAGGCCCAGGACCTGGTTCTTACAACCCGAATGACCAGTCTAAAGTTCAGAGAAAGTCTCTTATCCCGTGAGTCCTGACAATTCTCAACTTTATTCTGAAAAGCGGTGCTGAGGAGGGGGAACCAGCACAAAGCAGGGAAGGGAGGGGACCACGGCTTGGCAGACACAGCCTCACGCCACTCTCCGGGGCCCCAGTGGACACATGGTCCACACAAATGCTCAAAACAAGACCTGTCAGAGATCAAGTTTTATACCTTAGTCCCCTTAGACAATGATAGTAACCTTTCACAACAAATTCAGTGACTTAATTAGAAAACACAAAACCTGGTCTTGTTTCCAAGTATTTCAGTAAGACATAAAAAAAGTCTGTGACAGAGGAAGAGTGTAGACCACGTAGATGACTGTGCATGTGTTCCAGCTGCCCTTCTCTCATGGTACACCTCTCGTGTTCAGTTCTCTTAATCCCCGGAAAAGATCAAAGAAGACCTGTCCATGGACTCTTTCACTCTTCCTGCTTTCTGTAGCTGCCTTTAGCTCCGAGGGCCCCCTCTTGGCAGTACAAGTGGATGTGACCAGTGATCCATGCCCATGTTCTGATCTGTGAGAAGCACCACCAGAGACAGTGTGGGTGACCATGCGCCCCTGGCCACGCTGCTAGCTGAAGCGAGCTGCACATCTGTAGCATCACTACGCGGTGTACTCCTAGTACTATACATCCACTATGGTTTTGTAATCTTGCTATGTTATTTTTAAAATTTCTCATATTGATAACCTAAGGTTTGTAAGAGTGTAAGATGAAAAACTTTGAAATGCTAAACTGTCTTAGTAGAGGTAAAGAGAACTGATTTGGGAAGAAGTACTGAATGCTGATATTTATTGAGCAACCACTGTGTAACAGGTCTTGGAACTCTTTATTTCATTGTCATAACTCATTGTTGTAGAAAGTAGTAGTCTCAATTTATAGAAGAGTGAGCTGGCTTTCAGCGAGCTCAGAAAGGGTTACCCAAGTCCCCAACAGCTAACTTGATATGATATTGGGAATTAGACTCAGGACTGCCTGGATCTTTCCATGTTCCCCAGGTTACCATAGTATCCTGGTGGTGACATTATTCTGTTTTCATTATCTGAAACTGCCAATGTAGTAACAGAACACACAGGATCAACAAAGCTCTCCTAAGGTTTGTGCTGATAGAGGTTTGAAAAGCCTGGACTGTGGAGTGTACAGACTTGCTGGATTTGAACTTCGGCTCTGCTCTGTGGCCTGGGGTAGTGTTGGATTTGAACTTCAGCTCTGCTGCTTTCATGCTGTGTGGCCTGGGGTAGTGTGCTAGCCTCCATTTACATATCCTCAGCTAACATAGCTAATTCACACCTTGCAGGGTTGCTTTCAGGATTAAAAATATACACCTGGCCTGCTGTCCTTGTTAGGTGCCATCCAGTCAGCTACAACTTATAGTGACCCTTTGAACAACAGATCAGAACTTAGCCCCATCCATTGTCATCTTCACAGCTTCTGTCATGCTCAAGCCCATCGTGGTAGTCATTGTTGTCAGTCCAGCTCTTTTTTTGCTGACACTACTTTTCCAAGCGTGATGTCTTTTTCCAAGGACTGGTACCTCTTGATAACATGACCAAAGGGTATGAGGTGAAGTTTCACCATCCTTGCCTCTAAGCAACACTCAGAAAATACCATGGCATGTAGTAGATGCAAATGGCAACTTGATAGCACACATTGAAAAAATGGAGACAGAAAATTGTGTTACCATTTTTTAAATCCTGCGCATTTATGTTACTTTTATCTGAGAGGATAAAAAGCCCACAGTTCTTATTAGTTCCACAATTGGTTAATTAGGGAGCCTTCTAGAGCACATAAAATTAACTATAGTTAAGAACAACCTGAATTTAGTGATCATCTCAAGAATATCTTTAACACACTGAATACTAATGACAAAAGACTAGACAAGTTGTAGTATGACAGTGAGGACATTATCCATGAAGAAAGCAAAACTTTTTAAAAAGGCAAGAAATAAAGAAAAGACCAAAATGGCTGTCAGGAGACACTCTTGATATGGAGCAATGGCAGTGAGCAGAAGAGAGGTGAACAGAAGATTTGGAAGGGCAGCTCCAGAAGAAACAGTGTTGTGATGAAATGTGCAAGGACTGAAGTTAGAAAACCAAAAGAGAAGAGCATGCCAGGCATTTCAAAAGCTGACAAAACTGAAGAGAAAAAGAAAAATCAAGCCTTGAGTTGTAATGGTGAAAGATCCTTCCCATGGGCAAAATATTAATATAGGAGGTCTCAGAAGATGATGGCAGGAATGCACAGTCCAGTCATTTTAGGAGACAGTGTCTGATCGGGCACTTCCTTCAGTGGCACTGAAGGAAGAAGTCTGAGCTTCACTGAAGTTGTTGGTGAAAAATAAGATTCCAGGAGTTTACAGAATATGAACTGAGACGTTTCAACAAATGGATGAAATGTCAGAATCACTTACTTATTTGCACCAAGATTTTTGCTACTTGGCCAAACAATACGAAGAGATCTGGGTTTGTGCCTATTCCAAAGAAAAAATGATCCAACAGAACGTGCCAACTATAGAACAGTGGCATGTTGTCATTGTTAGGTGCCTTTGAGTTGAACAGTATCGATGTTGTTATTAAGTGCCATTAAATCAAGTATAACTCATAGTGACCCTATGAACAACAGATCTGAACTCTATCCTATGCCATCCTTATCAACCCAGACACATTTGAGCCCATCCCATTGTCAAGCAGTATTATGTTGTTGTTGTTAATGTTCCATCAAATGTGCAACTCATAGCAACCATATGTACAGCAGTTCTGAACCCTACCCTGACACACTAACCCCAATTGCCCAAGTTACTGTGTCAATCCATCTCATAGGCAAGTAAAAGTTTTCTAATAATAATGGGGGGGAAAAGGTTGCGGCAGTACATTGGTGAACTGCCAAAAATTCAAGCAAAATTCAAAAGAGGTTGTGAAACAAGAAATACCATTGGTGATGTCAGATAACTCTTGGGTGAAAGCAAAGACTATCTGAAAAGTGTTTACTTGTTTACTGACAATGCAAAGGCATTCAGCTATATGGATCCTAATAATTATGGATAGTGTTGCAAAGAATGAGACTGCAGAACTCTTGCACTCTTGCAGAACCTTTATATAGGCCAAGAGACAGTTGTTTGAATAGAAAAGAAGGGAATGTTACATGGTTTAAATCAGGAACGATATATGTCTGGGTTGCATCATTTTACCACAGTTATTTAATCTACACACTGAGCAAATAATTCAAGAAGATGAATTATATGGAGAATAATGTGTGTCAGAGACAATGAGATTGGCACCTAACAATAACAACAGGATTGGAGGAAGACTCATTAACAACCTTGATTTGCAGATAACACAACCTAGCTTGCAGAAACCTGAGAGGACTTGAAGCCCTTCCTCACGAAGATCAAAGACTATAGCCTTTAGTATGAGTTAGACTTCCTAATAATAAAAACAGAAATCCCACATTTGTATCAATAAACAGCATCAAGGTGAAGGGGGAGGGGAATCAATGATGTCAAGGATTTAATTTTATTTGAGTCCACAATCAATGTGAATGGAAGCAGAAGTCAGGAGGCGAATAGTACATTGCATTGGACAAATCTGCAGCAAATGACCTGTTTAAAAGATTTATTAAAAAAACCAAAAAAACACCACCCAAGATGCCACTTTGAGGACTAAGGGCAGCTTACTCAAGCCATAGTCTTTTTCAGCCACCTCTTATGCATGAGAGCTGGACAGTGAATAAGGAGGATAAAACAAACATGGATCCCTTTGAACGATGGTATAAGTGAATAATATTGAATACGCCAGGGACTGCAGGGTCAGCTCTGTCCCCATCTGAGCCCTCACTTCGTGTAGTCTCCAGGCAAGGCTGGTTATTGGGAGGCTGGGATGGAGCAAAAAAGGTACCTGGGCATCCCCAGAGAGGTCACAGACACAGTGGAAGGCCAGCAGTATTGGACATAGTATGACCGTTAGCCTAGGTCAAGGAAACAGCAGTTAGGGACGTTGTCAAGTTTAGGATCTGGAGAACAGTTTAAAAAACTGGATGGTATCCACTAGGCAGCTTATCTGTCCTTCAGCACTTGGGCTCTGTAGGCTGCAGAGCTAGAAGCTGGGGCAGGAACGCCACGAGGGACAGAATCGCTCCAGATGTCAGGGACTTCCTGCCTCCAGTCCAGTAGGGAGTGCATAAGAAAATGGCTTTTGAAGTTAAAAACCCAGTTCTGTCCTTTACAGGTTGGATGACTTCTCTCTGAGCCTCAGTTTCCATGTTATTAAGTGTAGATAGAATCTAATCTCACAGGGAGGATTAAATGGGAAAGCACTTGAAAATAGCTATTATCATTATTATAAGTGCTATTAGTACTAAATGGACATAGTCCTTCAAGATCACAACCTGAACTTGAAAACTTCTTCAAGGAAAATGGTGAAATAGGAGAGGAAAGGAGAAGATTCATGATTGTAAGCTGTTTTGTCTGGAGAAGTGTCATGTGGCTTCTGGTCAAGCTTGGACGATTGGTTTGAAATTGTTCTCATTTTATGACATTTGCATCTAGCATTCAATAGAATTTGTAGGTTTTTGGCTCTGTGCTGCAGGCCTTAGTGCTCAGGTGAAGAGAACAGTATATATCTCCAACCAAGCTCATCTGACAAAGTCTCAGAACAAGGCAGAGTGGTGTGAAAGAAAATGCTGGATTGAGTGAGTCTCGTGTTGCATAACCCCACCAGTCCCCAAGGGCAGCCTTCCCAGCTGGGACAGTGCAATGGGACTGCATGTATGGGGGTCACTGGTCCTGTGTGAAATTTTGTGAATGAAGACTCCTTGCCTAATAAGTTTGAAGAGTACTGTACACTAACACCCTGCCTCTGGGAACATTACAGTGCATGCTGACATTATTAAAGACTCTGAGAAGGTCTGCAGCAGAGGAACTTTTCAATTCTGTGTCTGCAAACTTGGTTCAGCTTGGAAAGTAGATAGAACTCAGGCTCTGTGGCAGG